AATTAAACTTTAGAGCACTGATACCTAGACATAAAAAACGGATAATCCAAGTTTTACAATTTTTTATTTCGTTATTTACAGCCTGAATTGACACAAATGAACTATTGTAAGTAAATTAAGTTTTGAATAAGCCAATGCTGAATTATAGTTTGAGTATTTGAGAATCTTTTCTAGGAAAATGACCCTCCGAGGCTATGTTGATTTTGTGAATTAAAATTAAATGTGCCAACCATATAGTTATTCAATTTGAATGAACTTTTTTACATTTTGTAAAGTTAAGCTCTACAAAATAAAAAAAAAAAAGTTCATTCAAATTGGATAACTAGATGATTTGCAAATTTAAGTGATCAAGCAAATAGGAACTTAAAATTAAGATAACCTTAATCCGACCAGAAATTATGTAAAAAAATAACAAAAAAAATTGAATGCTGTCCATATTTAAATTTTCACCGTACTGGGCTTAAGCTCGTCTTGTAATATTTAATGTGCAATTAAAGCAAATTACAATTAGTGTTCTAATAATTTTTGATAGTATCTTAAATTATTTGCAAGGTATTTGTGTGCCAGAACATTAATCGTACAATGATTAATTTATGTAATATCAATTTTTCAGAAATTTATTACGGCGAAAATTTAAATTTGCACTTACATGTTTTTCCTTGATAAACACTCATCATAGAAAAATGGAACACAGCAAAAAAGTTTAGAGAGTCATCATATGACGAACTATATAATTGATTTTATTATAAAAACTCTAATTTTCTTAATTTTCTTATATATATAATTTTTGAAATATGTTTATGAATGAGCAATGACAGAACATTTTTAAAGGTAAATGAGAATTGATCTATGTTTGCGAATGAACTTAATAAAAACTATAATCACGATAACAATAAATTTTACAAATGTATTTCAAAGAGAATATTCATCACTTGAAGGTGCTTCCATAAAAGTAAGTTCCTCTGTAGCTAAAGTATAATAGGTCTCTGGTATAAACATGTTATTTTCATTAAAGGTAGATAACGTATTTTGCAGCATATAAGGTTGCTCTCCAAATGCAGTTTGATTATGAGAATCAAAAATCATATTGTTTCTTTGATGAAGAGGAAGAATAGGAAGAATATTGGAAGTAGAAGACAGAACGTCTATTGTAATAAGATAAATAGAATATAAACATATATAATGTGTAATAGTTAAAAATATTCTATTATAAAATTAAAAATCTAAAATTATACCTTGGGAAAAATACTGAGTTTCCTCCGAGAAGTCAATCGGGTTAGTGGAATTTTCATATTGTAGATTGTTAACCGAAAAGTCTTTATTCGAACAGATAATGAATTTATAAATTTACTACATATTTTATGCAAAAAAAAAAAAAAAGATAGCATACTTGATAATAACAAAGCAGATTGTTCATTCACAAACGCAGTCGCAGACTGCGCGAGTGATGCATTAGAAGCTTCTCGGTTGTTGAAGCTTTTATCAACCGATTCTCCGGAAGCTATGGAAACTATAAAATATTTTTAACAAACAAATAGCGAAAAAGTTATAATATGCACTGCAAATGCACTGTACCTTTACTAAGCATATCTTCAACGTTACTAATTCTCTTAGAAAGATGATTAATTGCGTCATTTTTTTGCGCATTATGAATATTATCCTGGCGATGTTTCGGACCACGCTTCTTTGGAGTTGGATAAAAACACACTAGATTGTTTCGAGTACAACAATCACACCGAGCTCCGCCGGTACACCTTGTCTTTTTTATCCTACAACAGCTACAAGCGTTTAGAATGTTTTTACGTTTATTTTCTTGTTTCCTTTTTTGTCTTCTTTGACGTTTGTCATGGTTTTCATCTTGTTTCTCGTTAGACATATTTATGAAGGAGCATGAAAAAAATTCAATAACGATTGTAAAAATAACCGAAAAATGACATATAAATCACGAGTTCTCTTACAAATCGCAAAAGGCGATCTGAAAAATAAGTCTTGCTGCTAATTATATATATATGAATTATAACCAGTGAATGAATAAATATTTTACTTTGTGATAAAGTGAATAAGAGGTCAGTATAAAAATAGTAAGTAAAGGTAATTTCCGGGGTAGAAACTTATTACGTATGTACATCTTCGCATTGGCATGGAGCTGTACCCCGGAATTGATTGCCAATGAAAGCTAACACACGATGTTGAAATTCCGTATCACGTGATCTGTATTTCTGCATGTTACACGTAACACTAATAAAAGACTTTGTTAAACTCAAAGAAAATTCCAGAATCCGTATTTTCCGTCCGGAGTTTCATTTCCTGGAATTTTACTGGTTAATAAATAATTTTCCTTTGCTCGCCCAAATTGCCTACCACATTGTGCCATGTGTCTAAGAAACTCGCACAGGAATTTTTCCATTCCTATGTTCCTTTAATTCAGTTAATGGAATGTTCTAAATGGCGGAAAAGAAATTCTACAATTCCGGAATGAAATTTATACAGGTTAAAGTTTAAGGAGATTTGAATTGCTGCCAGTTACTAAAGTTACTATCAGCGAAATCTACCTCCCATTTTAAAGAACTTTAGATTAACCAAAAACACATGTACAACAATAAAATTAGAAAGAAAGATAGAGAGAATAACAAAGTTGAAAAACTATATAAGCATGAAGCTTGGTGGGCCAAAAGCATCACAAACGCGAAATATTTATTTGTGTGCCTGAAAAAATAAGTTTTCTTGGATCAATTATCTACAAAAATGAATTTATCATCCAATTCGTATTACCCGTACTATAAGTTTAATACCAACTTATATCATCCATACTGCACACTATGTTGTAATTTATTGGAAACCTCTCAATTCAATGTACTCAAAGAGACACCATCACGGCCACATAAATCAGAAATAACAAGAAAAACACGCTCTTACGTGACATTGGCGTGTACCAGTTGTCGCGATAAAAAGGAAAAGTGTTCGGGTGAAAAAGTATGCGCAAATTGTAAGCGACATAACCGTGAATGTATATACGTTCAACCCATTAAAAAGAGAGGACCTAAACCCAAATCTGCTGGAAAACCACTCATCACTCCGAAAATAGCAAATTTATTAAACCCAGCTGTTTAATTCGCAAGCTTATTCTTGTAGTGATTGCGATAAAATCGACTTAACCGACTAAGTCAGTTGATGTTTTAAAAAATTGACCTAGCCAGATGTTGACTATGTATATTATGTATATAGAATTGGACAATCGGACAATCTACAAGAATGGGTAGCGGAAATTCGAGATATATATTATATATTTACTTTTTTTTTCATACACAAACAATTGACTTTGACCTAGTCGAGTTGACAAATTTAGGACGACAACAATCTTAATGTATAATATCTAGATATATAGAGCATTAGTATTTATAGAGAATTATTTATTTTATTTTGCATTTTTTATTTCATTTTGTATTTTATATCATTTTATTAATTTGCATGTTGATTGAGAATTGTTGCTTGATGATGTCGTTATAACGCTTTTCCGCGTTCTTGTTGGTCACACCAATAATAAATGCAGGAAAATGGAAACAAAATTAATACCGTCATAACGTCAGAAATGGACTGTAAACATAAAAATAGAGCTTGCGTACTAAAGACAATGTCTATTTAATTCTAATAAACCTCAGTTCGACTTGTGTTTATAATCATTTTATTTACTTTGTATTCATGAGTTTATTCATTACTCGATTTTAATACTGGGTCCACCAAATTATTAACTAAAAACGAATTAATAATGAATGGTGCGGCTAATCGTACAGAATATATAAAAAACGAAAAATTTCGTATAGCATTTTTCAAATCATTTACTCAGATACTTGCGGATTAAAACTGATAATCTATTAACTCCGTTAAGTTTATTTAATTCAATGTATTATTAGTGACGATCGAAGTTATTAACTATTAATATTAATAACGCATTATTAATTTTTTTAATAACTAAAAACTCGAAGATCCATTCACTAGATTAAGGCTATCCTGGCATCGCTCTAAAAAATGTCACAATTAAAATATTTTTTAAAGTATTGAATAAATTAATATTGATATGCACTCATAGATGATAATTTTTATTTAGCAACGTCAAAATCAAATATCTTATTAACTTTAAAACTTTTAACGTCAAGAATCTGATGATCGTATTTATTTAATGACATAATGTATACTATATTGCGAATTGACTCTCCTTGATTTTATAACAAACCGAACTGATCATTAGTATTTTCTGGAGTATAGCAGTTGTAACGAAGGATGTAATTTTTGATCAGATTACACCTACGCCTATGTTTATATTTAAAAGCTATTATTATTATTAACATATACAGTCTTCCGAATAGTACGTTATTATGTACAAAAATATCAAAAAGTTCAGTTCTCACAAAGTTATCATATTGCTATTCCAAACTTTATAATAAAATTTACAAATGTTCTGAAGCTTTGTGTCCGGTTTTACAAGTTTATAAGGGTTCGAATTGTCCAGGTTCAGATTTGGAAGAGTTGACTGTATACCTAATTCTAGTTATAATTAACTAGCATTTAACAGTGTCTGTTTCATGGCAATAAAAATTTATGCTTATTATGCGTAATCTGGCGTAAGTGTTTGTATGAGGTTTGTAAATACTTGTTACTTGGTAGACATGACGTATACATTATGGAAATTTTTCATACCTTTGCCGCAGGTTTTTATAATAATCTGCCACATGATTTGAATAATAAACTATCACTATGGTTATAATGTGAAAATTTTCCGTCAATGTTTTACATAATAATGCCTTAGTATAACAAATATAAAACAATTTATCGTTAATAATTGGATGTGAGAAACATGAGACAAAATTATCACGGTAACAATATGATCGCTATGTTATCCAATCAAATGTAAAAGTTTGTTTACACAACATTCTAGATGACTACGTTTTTGGTACTCACGTACGTACGTACGTACGTACGTTGTTACGCTAAAATTTTTCATATCAGTCACACGATTTTTCACGCAGATCACGGGGTAAATTTTTTACTATGAAATTTGAGTGATCGACATGCATATGATGGGCTCAATTTTCATAGTAAATTGCAACG